CTGTACTGTAAAATAAAAAGCTTTCCCTTTCCCTGTTGCTCCCTCTGTCCCTAGTAATATATTTAATCCGTACATGTAATCCTCAATTTACAGCCATTTATTTGGTCACCATGTGAAGTTATGACAACACTGAGAAAAGTGTCTTATGACTGGTTCTCACATTTATGACTGCCTGAAATCACATGTTCAAAATCTGCCATGGATTGCTGATGGATGCAGCATCCCAGGTTCATAGGATTGCCATGTGTGACCTCCCCAGGCAGCTTCCAACAAGCAAGGCAATGGGCTAAGCTGGATTCATTTAATGACTGTGTGCCTCACTTAATGACCATGGTGATTTATTGACCATGGCAAAAAGGTAATAAAATCAGACACAACTCACTTAACAACAATTCACTTAGCAACATCAGTTCTGATCCCAATTGCAGCCATAACTTGAGGACTACCTTTATCACTATACAGTGATACAGGTTGCACAAATACCCCTAGTGCAGCAGTCCCCAACTTTTGCAGCTTAGCAGCCCAGCTGGGGATGGGAGAAGAGGCGCATGCAGCTGTTGTGTGAGTGGCAAGGCAGCGTGCATACACAACTTGACTTGTGTGAGTGGTGGGGCAGGATGCTCACCTGTGAATACCCACCGGCCTTCTGCTCATTTGAGCTGCACGCACAAGTGTCTGGCCAGCCACTCACGTGGCCCAATTCCGAATAGGCCATGGTCTGGTAGTGGGCTGTGGCCCAGGGGTTGGGGGCAGAGGTGGGCTGCTGGGGGTTCATATAGGTTCGGGCAATTCTCTAGCTAGGATTCTGCCCAGTTCGGCGAACTCCCAAATGCCACCCCAGGCTGGCCATGCCCACTCCACCCCTCCCACCCCTCTCAGGAGTCTCCACATGGCCCGTTCATCATGTCAGGTAAGAGAAGGCCTGCATGGATACTCAAGGAGGGGGGGAAACGGGTCTATCAGAGATTCTGGAAGTCCAGAAACATGCCTGCTTCTGGCTTTCAGAGGGCCTGCAGAGCCCGAGGGAAGCAGTTTTTGCCCTCCTAGAGACTCAAGGAATGCCTTCTGAGCCTGAGGAGGGCAAAAAACGGGCCTACCGGAAGTTCCACAAGTCCAGAAATGGGCCTGTTTCTGGCCTTCCGAGGTGCTCTGGAGCCAGAGAAAAGCAGTTTTCACCCTCCCAGATGCTTGAGGAAAGCCTCTGGATCCTGGAAAAATGCCACCCCCTCCCCATAGTGCAGGAGGCATGGCCATGCCCACCTAGTAACGAGGTAGCAAACCCATTGCTGCAATTATTGAAGCCCATCCATGGTTGGAGACCCCTGCCCTGGTGGTTCAGCCAGTTTGGTTTACTGGTTAAGGCATCAGACTAGAAATCAGGAGACTGGCCAGTCACTCACTCTCAGCCCAATTCACTTCACAGGTATGTTATTGTGGGAAAAACAAGTGGCAGAAGGAATACCAGGTATGTTTGCTACCTTGATTTATTTATAAAATAAATAAATAAAGGCAGGATTAAAAAAAAACCTAAATAGTCTGTTTAATGGCAACATATTTGAACTTGAAGAGTTGTGCAATTAAGCTTCACATGTCAGCTGAACTAAATTACATACNTCAACAGCAAGCAAGAATGCCAAATCTTTTCTTGGCAGAGGTCTCTTTGCCTTTAAGAGCACATGCCTGGGAAAAAGGCAACTTGTAAAGGGTTGTGTTTTTTTTTTCATCATGGAAACAGGCTGATGGAAGCAGCTGTCCATGCAAAAAATTGTCCCATCATGCAACAATTACAGACAGAGAAGCCAATGTCTGGAAAGAAATGGGCATTTTGGAAGGTAATATTTTCTTTAAATAAAGCAGAAGTGCTTTAAGAGCCCTTCCTTCAATCAACATCACATTAAAACACTTTCTTTTTTTCCCCTTTTGCAGTTAAGGCATGCATACCTTAGGAATTATTCTTCATCCACTTCTGCTACAAACTGTGAATGATGTTCTGGCGACTTGCTGTGCGTTTTGCTTAGATGAAGTTTTACAGCATGTTTGCTCACAAATGTCCGAGAGCACAACTTACATTTGAACTTAGAGTCTGTGTCCTCTTCTCCAGCTATTGTTTCAGGAGATCTTTGAACTGAAATTCTGGAAATGTCTTGCTCTACCTTGGTTTGCTGCTCCACAGCCAGCTTGTTCATGTCTTTCATTTGGAAACCTAGATGGGATTCTAAATGGCCGATGTACGTTGATGGTGTTCTAAACTGAGATGCACAGTCACTGCAATAAAAGATGGGGTGTCCTTTATCCATGTTTTTCAAAAACTTTGTCCCCCCAGTTTTTCTGAGCTGGTACTTGACGTTTGCCAGCCAATGGCTGATGGTAGTCATGGACAACCCCGTAAACTTGGAAATCTGCATACGTTCTTGAGGGCCCAGATCTGACAATAAATATTTACCCTCCGATGTTTGGAAGAGACTGGATGCAAATTGCGCTTGCAGAATCAGGAGATGCTGAGGATTCCAGTTGGACTGCCTTCCTTTCCTTTTATGCAAAGTGGAGACATCTGTGGAGACATCTTCGAAACGCCGAACATCCATTTCCAGTTTCATGGATGGGATTCTGGATGAAGCCGCAGGTTTCGGGGTCGTTGCTTTGGGAAGGACTTTGACCATGTCTGCAATGTCAGACAGAGCATGCTTCTGAGGTGGGGAAGTACAAGACTGGGCCTGAACAGATTCCCCTTTCTTATTCTTTGATTTTGTCAGGTCAATTGGCTGATCACTGTTCTCAAACACGTAACGCCGGGATGTAACGTTTGCAGGTTTAGCCGGCGTTGATGCAGGAGACAGAACAGGCTTCTCTATTATATTTAAATTTGGTTTGTGGAACAAAGATGTTGAGCTTGAACTGGGGCTGGAGTTTGACTGAGGTCGTAAAGGCTCATTTGCTTTGCCCAGATGGTTGTTCAGCACAGACTGCAGGGCGCTGAGGGGATTCAAACCAGGCAGCTCTGAAGTGTGGTTGCCAGGAGGGCATCCGTTGGTGAGAGATGATGTCACAGAATCCTTTGTTTTTATTTTATCCTCCTCTTCCTTTGTCTTGGGTTCTTCCTTCAAAGGATTCAGCTCTGACTTTTTGGACTCTACGCACATCTCAGCCTGAGGAGGCGAATCTCCTTCATTCTGATAGGGAGGAACCACATCTGTCTTGTTGCTGTCTTTAATGTAGTCCTTCTGAGCTTCCTTCTTGGGGTCTCCTTCTTTTTTCAACTGACTGCACTGGACTATATTAGCTGTCATGGGTACTATAGGCATCACTTTCCATTTTGGAGCAATAGGCCTCAGTTTATTACTGACTGTTGGTCGAACTTGCAAAACTTGGGACCCCACTGGTAAGGAAGGTTTTGTTCCCTCCGAGAGCTGGTATGCCGCATGGATACTGGGATACGCACTCCAGCTGGGTGCTCCGTTCTGAGCTTTATTGATGGCTGTGGTGACAGTGTTTTCCAAAGACTTTAAAATGTCTCCACCACCTTTTGAAGCATCTTCTAAATCTTCCTCCCGGAGATACTGATATTTCATTGTCGGGTCCAGTGGTTTTTGAAGAGCGTCTTCGTAGTCTTCATTTTTTACCCCTTTTTCATCTTTGTTCGCTTCCTCAGATTTATTTTGTTTACTTTCCTTTTTTAGGTCTGAAGCAGGAGCCGTAGAATCGGTTGATGAATTACTGGAGGGTTTTGAATGCTGGCTGTCAGTGGCTGATGCATCAGAAAGCGACTGCATTTTTTCCACAGCCAGGGGATCCAAGACAAGTTGTTTCCCTTTCTTGGAAGCTGAGCTGGTGACTTTCAAGAAGTGACCCGTCACCATCATGTGGGTGGTGAGTTGCTGCAAAGTATCATGGGAGCTCCCGCATTCCATGCACTTGAGAATCTGCGATTTGCAGGCTTCAAACTGCCAGGTGTAGCTGGCACCATTCTGGTAGCCATAACGATTGTTAGACGATACCTGCAGGTTGGCATTCTTATGAGAAGAGAAAGTGTCAGCAAACGACCCCGTGGTTGAATCTGGAGAGCAAGGCCTGTTAATGTCGAACACACGTTTCTTATTTGGAGTCACCATCTTGGAAGATATGGTAGGTACCGGCTCCTTCAAAGGCACTTTTTGGTAATGTTTTGTTTTGATCATATGAACACTCAGGTCTTGAAGAGAGTCAAAAGAGTCACCACAGAACATACATTTCAGAACTTTCTGAGCATCTTCTTTATCCATGTCCTGAAAAGCCCTTTTCCGGGGCTTGGAATAGCTGGTAGATCTGTGCTTGTCTTTTTTATGGTTGTCATCTTGGTAATGGCCACTTTCGTTCATATGGACCGTAAGCTCAACTAAGGTATCATAGGCAGCACTGCATTGCCTACACCGAAACCTACTAGCACCTGTGAATACAGTTCCACACATCTTGCTGCTTTGCCTGTACAGCTGGACCGAGCTGAAAAGGTTTGGCTTGGACAGTGGCCGGACTGGTAAACTCTGCTGCAAGCTTTTGGTCAAGGCATCCTGATGCCAATCAAAGTCACTTTTGCTTGCTCCGTTTCTATTGTCACATGCCCTCTTATCGGAACTGGAAAGTTTGAGCCCCAGTCCCAAACCTGACCAATAAGAATCTGAAAGGATGTTAGCATAGACAGCTGTCATTTTATCCATGCAGCTGTGTGCTTCCGTTGGATGTTTGGGATGGATATTGCTTTTGGAGTCTGATGCCTCCCTGGAGCTAAGGCTTTTAATGTCTGCCACCTGGTCGCTAGCATCACTGAGCAAGGATTCGTTTTCCGCATCCTGATTGGAGATATGGCTCCCTGGGGAATTCTGGTAGCTTAAGCTTCCTCTTGGATCAGGACCAGTTTCATGTTCTTCATCTGTTCCTGGGTCATTGCTGCCCTGAAGATGAGCCGTTGAATTGCTCTCATCATCATCCTCTTCCTCCTCTTTTATGTCTTCCTCATCCTTCAAATCATCCTCTTGGACATAACCTGAAAAGGAATATCAAAATGTGTGAAATAGGTCAAATAAAAACAGGGAACATTCATTTTTCTAGTGGCTTCCTTACTAGAGTTTGGTTAATCTTCTATTTTTTATGGACTGTTAGCACAAGATGTGAAAAATCCGGCAAGACTACCTGGTTTTATTAACAGACAATCATTATTCTTTATATCTTATGGACATTTGGCGTTAATAATAGTAGTCAAATTCTAACCACCTCTTAATGGAACAGTCAGAAAAATTAATATCTGAGATCCTATTAAGCCCATTAAAATTACATGACCATATGAATATTAGCTCACTTGAAAAAATTTCAACTGGCCAAATAAAGTATTCCTGCTTTTAGGACGTATTTTCAGGTACAACAATTTTGGTAACATGATAACCATTCAGGATGCTTGAGACAACAGAACAAACAAATGCTACCCAAAATTGTACACAATATACACATTTGCAGAATCACTGTTTTTCATAAGAATGTTTTTTAAATTAAAAAAACCCCAATATTTTCAATGAAAATATACATTTTTTGCATAGCTTCTACTCTGAAATTTTTCTACGATCTAATAGTTCACCCCTAAATTGTGAAACATATTCCAAAGAAGGGCATGCTTCATTCTCATACAAATACCATAACATTTTCATTCAGCTTATAAGGATAAAATAGTTATAATTCTGTATCTCATCCTGAATGGAGATGGCCATGGGTTCATCAAATAATCATGGCATTTGAATAAATGATGGTAATTGCATGGAAAATTAGATGGAAATCCCTTAGAGTCCCTCTATGAATTTAGCTGCATATGTCACATATGGATCTGCTGAATATTGGGTTAAATCCATCTTAACTTAGTTGCATATAGTTCACACTGAAATCAATGGGGCATTAGTTAAATCATCATTACCTTGGTCCATTAATTTCAGTGGGACTCAAATTAAACTAATTTAATCTGGATTCAGTCCACAGAGCCAAACTGCTGTGTCAAGACCACTACTGCCAATTCTAAATGGCTATCATGTTGTAGCAATTTCTATTTGGGACTTGTTAAGGTTGGAATAAGCTGAAATCCCACTCTGCCAATATACTCTGGCCAATTTTAACTATTAGAAGCTATCATACTATCCTCAAAGCATGAATTAGGGAGTTAACTTGTTAACTTGTTAAGCTAATTTTAAATGTAATTTCAGCTTCATCATCTGAATTTTTACCAAAACCAAGAGGCTGTTTTTATGCTTCCAATTCTTCCTGAAGTATTATCTTAGGTTGATCTAAAAATCTCAATGCAACCGCTAATTTTACTTTTATGAATACAGGTAGTCCTCGACTTAAAACCTCAACTGAGCCTCAAATGCCTGTTGTTAAGTAAGACATTTGTTAAGTAAATTTTGCCCCATTCTATGACCTTTCTTGCCACAGTTGTTAAGTGAATCACTGCAGCTGTTAAGTCAGTAACATGGTTCTTAAGTGAATCTGGATTCTTCATTGACTTTGCTTGTCAGAAGGTTGCAAAACGGGAACCCATGATCCTGGGACACTGCAACCGTCATAAATATGAGTCAGTTGCCAAGCATCTGAATTTTGATCACGTGACAAGGGGATGCTGCAACGGTTTTAAGTGCGAAAAATGGCCATAAGTTACTTTTTTCACTGCCATTGTATTTTTGAACAATCATTAAACAAACGGTTTAACAGTCAAGGACTACCTGTAGGTACATTTCTCTTGCTGTTTTCTAC